GTAGAATGCCCACCCAGTCTTTCTCCCACGGAGCGGCTGGTGGTTTTGAACTGCCAACTACATGGATCACAGCCCAAACATGTAAGTACTACACCACCAGGGCTCCATTATCATTTAAAGGTGAGGATGGATTTACCTAACATTAAAGGGCAAGTAGGACTTCACTGTAAATCAGAGTTCATAGCCCAGGGACTTACAGCAAAAGCCTTCACAGGAGTGGTCGCCAAACTCTAACTGGGGTTGTGTCTCTAATCCTTGACCTATCATCTTCCATGTTGCCTTTCTTTCCTGTTTCAGTCCTCTTTCCCTACCATCACATTCACACAGTGACCTCTCTTCACTACCCACAACCTGTCTTGTTTCTGACATCAGTCCACCACCTCTGGCTTCCTGAAGTTGGGAATGTCCCTCCAGGTCTGTTTGCTGTCAGTACAAATGCTAATGACAGGAGACTGTGGTAAACATTATCAAGTCAATTCAGACGCACAGTGACCCTTTATAGGGTGTTTGATGCTGCAAGTCTTTACAGGGAGCAGTTGGGCTTGAACTGCTGAACTTGAAACCAATGCCTAGCCCACGGCACCACTAGGCCTCCTTGTGGATAAAGAAATGTGTACAAATCAAGGAAGAACAGGTGGGTGACTTAACAAAAATTCATGCAGTAAAGAAATAGATGTAAAGAATAATGAATTTTTAAAAAAAATTTTCCCCACAAATGTCTATTTTGTAGATCAATCCTGACATAATGCCCAAATTAGACACTTTTGAGATCTCATAGTCTACAATTTTTAGAATCAATCTTAATTTATTTCCCATTTTTTCTAATCTGAGCATTATATTTTATTGAATAAAACTATGGTTTGCCTTAAGTGGTCACCAAGCACCTCTTCTGCATTAAGCATTTTCATCTACAACCACTTCAGAGAGATGATATTTCTTTTTTTAAAACAACCATTTCAGAAAAAATCTATAATCTCATTAAATAGACCATTGTGATCGTAAAAATTCCTCATTGCCAGAGCTCTCCTTTGCATCTCAGTTAAGTATATTATGCTACATTCTAAATCCTTGTTGCTTCTTATTCTGAACAAGAAAAACCCGAAGTCTATATATATGTATACACACACACACACACACATATATGGACACAGGTGGTGTCAAAGAAATAAGATTCGGTCAAGACCATTCCTGTAGTCTACGCTTGTTTAAACACACACACACACAAACCACAGAGTAAACACTATAGTGATATGTATGTATGGGTGTGTATGTACACACACACATGAGTATAACATGGGAGATGATTTATATCCAAAACTATAGGGGTCCTTCAACATTGGATGAAGCACTGAGGTGAGAAACCATTTTCTTTCTCCTTCTTGAAATACTGCTACCCATTAAACCTTTCTCCCTTGTCATAAGTATTTGAGTCTACCATTTTCCACCAAGTGATTTATTACGATGGGACAGTTCTTATTGAGATAAGATTGTCTAAAGTTGAAAGGCAGTACCAGAGTAACTGCCCAGGACCGGCTTCGCCAATTTTCAAAAGCATTCTTGGTATTTCCAAAACAAACACCCTAAATGCTTCCATATTTTTCAATCACACCATTCCTCCTTGAAATTTCAATAATAATAGCTAGTGCCTGGGTTGGATCTGGCAGTGGCCAACACCCTTAGCAACCTCCTCAATGGTCTTATCCTATTCGAACTAATTTTTCCTCTTTTTTTTCCGACTGTCTTAAATGCATTTATTCTATGGCTTTTTCTTTTAATTAATAAATTATTGTTAGTACTACAGTGTTACACATTCTTTCTTTTAAGCAAAGGCACGCCAGTCTCTGTTTCCTTTCTTTATCTTTAAAATGTTTTACTTAAGTTGCCTCTTTCCTGTGCCTTTCTCTTCATGGCATTGTTAGGTGGTCTCCGGCCAAGTATGTTTGCACCCTCACTTTTAACGCTCAAAAGCGCTCCTTGTTCTTGGGGATGGTGGTGGTGGTGGTGGTGTGTGTGTGTTAGTTAGTTAATAGCCATAGCCACTTGAAAATGAGGAAACTTAAGGCTGTGGGAAGCTGAGAGCCTCACCCAGAGAGCCACGACCAGTTCTTCTGTCCCTAAGATAACTTTTCTTCCAGTCTGCTTGCAGGCCATGTTCCTTCCACCCTATTTACACATCTTAACATTTCAACAACTGCACTTCCTCCTGTGTTTCTTACAACCTTTGGGCAAGGGAGGGGTTTCTTCTGGTTTCCTGTTGTCTGTCCTTTTATACTGTCTTGCTATTCTGGCTTATTCCCATGGTACAGATGAAACATGGTTTCAAATAGGTTTCCCATGATTTACCAATCTTTTTTCTCTTGTCTACTAAGGTGATTTGCATGTTTCTTTTATTGAAATACTATGTTCTTTAAAAGCACTTTAATAAATAGCATGCTACTAAAGTTAGTTGACGCCTTTTAAATACTCGCAAATGACAGTTTCTAAAATGCGACTACTGTGGAAAGCAGTTGATGCTTCCTTTGATGCTTCTTTCTACCATTCTGTCCCTGGGGCTCTCTTATTCTCTCTCCTCAAATTTCTGCCCTCTCTAGCCAATGGCTTCCCCTAGGGTGAGTCATCTGGGCTTCTGCACAGGCTGGCTGGGGTGCAGTGGCCCCTAAGTCCTTTGACTGCCTCGTCCCCCTCGATAGAAGACAATCTCAGAAATAGTGTTTCAGAGCTCTGGGAAAAATGCTTAAATGGCTTTCCTTGCCTTTTCACAGAGGCTACATATACTATTTTCAAATCAAGCAAAGAGGTTATACCCAGATTTTCACATTTATCATTATTCTGAAGTGCATATTCTATAAACTTGATCTTGAAAGGAAAAGTAGACTGAGTATCTTGTCACACATGAAAAGGGAACATTGGGAGGCACCCACAGGAAATAGCAAACCTACCCCAAACCCCAAAATAACACCTGCACTTGGTACATGTTAGAATTAAGAGCACAATCTAAACAAAACACAGTCTGGTAACCACTCAGGAATACTTCACTGATCTCTATGACAAAATAATCTTCAATCTAAAGTACATAGGGGGCAATGTTTTTAGTACATATTTTAAGACATTTATAAAAACTACTAATTTAGTTACATAAAACGAACTGTGTATTGTTTGCTACTCTCCAGGAATCAGCCTCACTTTCAGTTCTCTAAAGGATGCCCACACAGCAATTATGGCCTCATGCTTTATAGCGATTTGGGTGAGAGGTCACCTAGTTTCTCTGTAATGACCCTGAGCTGCCTAACTCTGGGAGTTGGGCCCACAGTTCACTGGAACAGTTCACAGACCTATAAACTTCTTTGATTCTTGGTTTCTGAGCTCCTTGGTTTGTGTCCACAGGACACCTTTGCAAACTTTTTTCACATATGATGTCATCAGCTTACTGTTTTTATTTTCTGGAAAGAAACCTGCACAGTATGATAAAACAATATCACTTTCAATCTTAAATATAATCTTATAGTTAAACACACATTTCTTTTAAAGCATGTTCTTCTAAATCCTAATTTTGGGAAACCCTGAAAGGATTGATGTAGTGTATTACATGATTCAAAAATGTATCCTATATTTCCACTTACCTTTCTATAAAAAGCATTCATTTTCTAGTTGGAAACAATAATTGTTCCTGTATTTTTCTTCTTGCCCTATCCATACTGAATGGCTTTAGCCACTATCCCTATCTGCTAGCACAATTAATTCTAATAGTTCTATGTATCCATCTATCTATCTTTCTTTCTCTATATTTATAAATGAAACCATTACACACAAAGGCAACTTGGTTTCAAATATATATAAAAACACATAAAATATGCGTTTAGCTATTTCTCTAGATCGTCCTACAGGAAGGTGATTGCAATGACATCCATGACCCTGAGAATCTGACACATACTTGCTCTCTATAGCTGTGGAAGCTCGTGTAGCTGATCCATGTATGGTCCACTTTGCCTAATTATTGCATCGTATACCCTCTCCCTTATATTATTCAGTGCAAAAGGAAAAGATATATTCTAAGGAACTATTGACTCATTACTCAAAATTCAAACTCACTGCCACTGAGTCGATTCCAACTCAGAGTGACCCTATAGGATACAGTAGGACTGTCTACCTGGGTTTCCGAGGCTAGAAATCTTTACAGGAGCAGAAAGACTCACCTTTCTCCTGTGAATTGTTTGGTAGGTTTGAACTCCTGACCGTGTGGTTAACAGTTTGATTATATCATTAGCTCACTGAAATGTAGGATAATGGAATAAAAACTACTCTTTTGAGTCAAAAAACAGAGATTCTTATTCTGATTGTGCTATTTGATTTAAGTTAATTCACCGAAGTTCTTCTCCAGGCCTCTGTTTGCTTGTAATAAAGAGGGCTCCACTAGTTTTCTAAGCATAAACTGCAATGTGTGCAAGTTAACTATTGGAAAGATTGGTGATGCTCAATGACCATTACTTTTATGAGAAGGGCATGTAAATGTACAGTAAATTATATAATCCAGATATTTTCCTTCATATTAAAAAATATTTCTATTCATGCAATTCAAATATGACATGTAAGTCACAGAGGAGTCAGCTAAAATGGTCAGATGTGGCTCTACTATCTTAAAGTTCTAAAGATAAATGGTTCAATGCCACAACACGTAAAATGTGCAGTTAACACTATATACAACCCATAACATTTGCTATTCCTGCAAATACAGTCAAAGGGAGGACACGGACAATGATGTTTGTGCTCATGTGGTGGCAAGTGCTCCTCAGCTGTAGCACTGGGAGCATGTGAGTCTCTCAGCTGCAGTGAATTCTTTTCCCCCTTTGCTGATTTTAATTTCTGGTTCCCTTAAAGTGATGGTGAGGGAAAACAACAGGTAAAATGATTCCAGACACTGAGCCACTCACTTTTTACACAGTTGTCATAGGAGAAGCGCATGTACTAGCCTGCAAAAAGGATACCGTGACCAGCTGACTTACCAACACTTCTCTCGTTCTTGGAATTCTGCTGCCCTCCAGAAGTGGTGGACAAGTCTTCTGGGACAGGCATGGGCTCGTCGCCATCATCAGGAGTATCGCTTATAGGAGGGCTTTCCTTTCCTGAGGAGATAAGCAGCAGCTTGAGTTCTGATGGCCAGCTCTTGCTAGCAGGGCAGGCATCCAGGGAAGCTCCAGGTGCCTGGGTTTCTTTCAAGTTTGGTTAGAGAGAATGAGGCTGCATGAGGCGGCTGCAAGTGGACTGAATTAATACTTCACTATTGGAGTGAACAATGACTATTATTTTATAAGTAGGAAAACGTGTGATTTTTCAGTTTATAAAATAACAATCATTGGCAAAAAGAGCTCGAGAGAGAAAGAAGTGAGTGGGGAGGAGAGAAGAAGAAGCTATGATAAAGGAAAATAAAAATCCAATCCTAGAGATTAATATTTTAAAATGATGGTATATTTGTTTCCATGTGTACACATATATCATTGATAACATGTGAAGACGCATTTTTTTTGTTTCAAAATTAATCAAGCTTAAGCATTGAGTGCCTTGTCAATAGCTTGTCATGGCGGTTTGTCACATTTGTACTGACTGTGTAATACTCCATTGCATGAGTTGACTAGAACGTCTTTAAACCCTTCTGTTAATTCCGAATCAGCTTTTTTTTTACTAATTTAAAAAATGACAAATTCCTGTTCTGCCAAATTTTCACATAGTCTCAATAATTACCATAGTATAAGTCTCTAGGAGTGTATGGTTGGGTTGAATGACATTAACATATTTAGGGCTCCTGACCTCTTTGGCCATTTTTCCCCTCTGGAAGGCAGGTCCCGTTCTCCTCTTTCAGGCCTGCTTTCCCACACCCTCACATTATTATTTTTAGGACACAGCAGCAGGGGGAATGTTTTGTCTGCTTCCTAATTTGATTTAACTTGGGAGGGAGAATCTTGCGAGGCGAGAATGGGCAGGAACCTACCCCGTATCAAAGAGTTCATCAGCATCAACGTTTATCCCTGAAATAGGAAAGGAACCTGCACAAATACTACTATTGTTTGTATTTCATAAAGGTTCCATGTGCTGCGGAGGTGACTTTGACTCATAGCTGGTCTAGGCACGCCATAATAAAACACGGAATGATCCGACAGCAATCTAACAGTCATTTTTATGCCAAGTCCATTGATATCACCATGGTGTCACCCCCTTTCATGGAGGATCTTCTTCTTTGACGCCGACTGTCTAACCAACGGGATGGCTTTCTCCAGACACTAGTTTCGGGGGGTGGGGTGGCGGATAGTGATTACATGCTGGGTTGCTAACCACAAGGTCGGCAGTTCAAAACCACCAGTGGCTCCAAGGGAGAAATACAGGGCTTTCTACTCCTGCAGAGAGTTACAGTCAGGAAAACTCACATGAAACTTGGTCCCGTAGGGTCACGATGAATTGGCATCAACTCCATGGCCGTGAGTTCAGTTCTGGCTTTGTCCCTCCTACTATAACTGAAGTGCATGAGGTGACGTCACAATCGCCTCCCTTTCCAGGAGCATTCTTGGCTGTCCTTCTTCCGAGACAGATTTGTTTGTTTTTCTAGCCTTCGTGGTATGGTCAATGTTCTTCACCAATACCACAAGTGAAATGTATCAATTCTTCCGTCTTTTTTATTAACTGTTCCGCTTTTGCATGTATATCAGGCAACTGAAAATATCACGGTTTGGATGCCAGGTGTATCTTAAGTCTTAAAAATGATATCTTTGCTGTTTGACACACTAAACAGGAAATATGAAATAGATTTGCCCAATATATAATTTGATTTCTTGACTGCTACTTCCATAACTGTTGACTGTGAATCTAAGTAAAATGAAATCTTCAACAAGTGAAATTTTCTCCACTTATCATGATGTTATTTATTGGCCCACTTGTGAAGATTTTTATGTTCTTTATACTTTTTAGAATAAAGTATAAAGAACACAAAAAAGTATAAAGGATTTAGAGTAAATCCCATTTACAATTTACCAAACAGGATTCCATGGGATACTTATATCTATTTTAACTTAAGTTTGACCAGAGGAATCAAAAGATTGGAAAGTATATGCCCAAGGTAGTGGAAAACTGCTCCCGATCACTGCTATCTTTCAGACCTAATTTTAAACTGTCATGAGAAATAAACCACATGTGAGAAAGTGCTGATAAAGACCTCCGTGGATGTAAAATAATCTATCCAAACTTCCTGTAGAAGACCAGTTCAGATGAAGATCCCAAACAAGGATCTTTAGACTGGAATCTCATGTCTGTGGCTAAGATGGCAAATTGATCACCAAGCAAAATGAGAATCCCACACAGACATGCCCACACATTTAAGAGAGTGCACAAATAACGAGGCAAGTATTTTAGTCGACATGTCTAGATATAATGCAAAATGCCCTTGTTCATTTGAATAAATCTCCCAGAAGAGTGACACAAACATTTTAGAGGATTTATAAGACCAGTATAATCATCCCCAATATATAAAACAGCCTTTACTGGAACAATTTAAAATAGAACCTCCTCAGGTACTGGGGCTATACTTTAGGGAATACTGCTTTCTTTAGGAAATAGACATCACAATTTAATATTCTAACTTAGCTGTAATTACCACAATTGGCATATTTTCAGAAAAAGCATTATTGGGTATATTTGGGTAGCCAATACAAGATGAATAGTTAAGATGGGCCAGGATTGTAAGAAGTTCCCAAGGAAAAACAAAAGGCCAGAGAAAAACTGATTGAAAGTGCTCATATTACACAAAAAACATGACAAGTAATGATAACTAGATATTATAGTATTATTTTCACAAATTATTTTTTAAATGGGGAAAACCTGTACAGGTGAAGACAGAACATATATGGAAGCATTTTGCAATTTTTCTTATAAAATGGCTGGTCTAGAGTAGTGGTCTCAAACATGAGGGGTCTTGGTGGGTGAGCAGGTCAGAGAACTCTTTTTTTGTGTGTGAGGATAATCTCACACAAAAGTTTATAAGATGAGCATTGCATAGTGTAGAGGCTGGAAGCTACAGAAATCTAGGCCACTTGCCTTCCTGAAGAATCCTTAAGATGCCCCTCCTCTAATTCGCAGTGAAGACCACTGAACCAACAAGCTAACCCAGTGACTGGATGTTTCTAGGGAGACTGCAGTGTGCCTTTGTGTTTAAAACACTGTGATGGGATGGTTTTCTCCGGATTCTTACTAGGATCTTTCCTATTTTAACTTTGTAATACTCCATTATGCTGTGGGGTCAATTCAAAGAACAAATTGTTATTTAAATAACAATCATAGGACAAAGGGAGATTCATAAAAAAAAACACAATTCACCCCATGAAAGAGTGCCTGATTTTCAACTCAACTCATGTAGATGTGCTTCTTTACAATTCATCAGCCTGGTGGATCTCCTGCACTGAATTGAATGCTAGCTCTCCACTTTTCCTTATCTTACATTTCAGAACTTCTATTTTCTCTATGTGGAAAAGAAAAAAAAAAAGAAATAATGAAACCAGTAGGGATCATGATGCTAAAATACCAGGGGTTAGATTGGATCAATAGGAGCGCTCTATGCAGAAGGAACACATGGGGAGAAGGGGGAATAAAAATTAGTCTCAGAGTATATGGTGATAGCAAGGCAGAACTGGAATATAACAAAGCTATATATATTCATATACTTCCTCTCCAAGAATGCCTTTTAATTCAACAAAGTCGGGCCTTAACTTGGGGGTTGTTTTTAAGAAGTCATCTGATTTGCCTAAAAGCCCCTGCAGTTTGAGTCATGGTTGCTGTGACATTAACCACACACACACACACACACACACACACACACACACACACGAGCCTTTGTACCCCAGGACCCTGACATTCTCAATGCTGGAGACTTACAGTGAAATTTTACCACTTCATGAAAATGTTCAAGGTAGGCAGAAATACTTTTACATGTGAATTCTCACAAAATTCTTAAAAACAGCCATTTGGTCATTAAAACACACACACAATATCAATGATTTATAAGGGGAAAAAGAGATAAAATTATGAAATTGAGTAAATGTCACAAATATTTGTACAGGGAACTAGGAGTTAGTTGATCTTTGATGTACTACTGGCTTGGTCAATGACAGTAAGGGACAGGAGATGTGCCACTACTTTCTTCATGTAGGTGAGAAAACATGCATCACCGGTGGTTATGCAAATACAATACAAGAATATGTATGAATGTGAATATATCAAATAAATGTATGGCAATTCATTGTAAACTATAAGATCCCATATTTAAAAAGTTGTATAGTTAAAAGTGCATGTACAATAATGTATATAAATACTATACCTTGAAGAGAGTAAGAGCTCATTCATTTAAATGGAGTAATTTGGAATATGCAATAAAATTTCACATAATTAGAAAAATAAAAGAAACTTCCAGCTAAGTTATAAATACACCCAATTCATTTCCAAGTGCCTACACTTCAAATGTAGTTATTCAGTGATGCAAACAGTTAAGCAATTGTGGCAGTTACATAATCTCCTGTCATCTTGCAAAGGGGTGGAGTCTAACCTGTCAATCAGGCCATAGCCAATGATGCCTCTGTGTGGGCATGGCCTTTTCCTGATTCTGGGAACTCCTGTATTCCTCTCTAGAGATGGGAATTACTCTCTGCTTTGTCTTCCCGCTGACAAGCCACATGGAGCTACACTTATGCAGCCAGAGCCCTGGAGCTGGAGGAGCCACATTGAGACCGATGCCAGCACTGAGATGCTTCCACCACTGTTGGATCCACAAGACTTTCCACCCACTGGTCTGTGATCTTCCTGCATTCAGCATCACTGAATGACTGTGTGAGTTTAATGAGGAATTTATGGACTAGAATTGACGTATGAGGTAATCTTACACTTATGGACTTGATCTGGACTGGGCTGGGATGTGTCCTTAATGTACAGTTGCTCTTTGATATAAAGTTCTCTCTGACCCACATATGAGTGTCTCTGGATTTGTTTCTCTAATCAATCCGGACTAACACAACTCTTGACTAGTAACTTAGTGGTTGGCAGTTTGAACCCTTCCAGAGCTATCTTCGGAGAAATGTCTGTTGATCTGCTCCTGAAAGATCTGAAAGATTCCATCCATTGGAAACTCTATGAAACAGTTTCCCTGCACACATGGGATCAGAATCAACTTGATGCCAATTGACCAATTTTGGTTAAATTTCAAATAACACTCTACCTGTGAGATTTTTGGGGGCTAATTAGATGAGGATATTACATAACCAGTTTGTCAACTGCAAGTAAATTGCTTTTCAAGTGCATTACACTTCCCTGACATGCACGCTTTTTAAACATGCATTTGCTCTCCTGAACATAATTTTTGTAGTAAATAAACATTCAGAATACAGAATCTCAATTCTGCAGAAAAGTGGAAAAGTTTGCGCTCCAGAGACTAAGGTATCACACACACCCCAGTCACCTGATCTCCCTTTGGGATATCTGGTACGTTACTTAAATTTTCTGACTCTTTGTTCCCTATACTGTGTTCCCCTAGACAGCTGTGTCTTTTTCATGTAATTTTCATAAGACTATAATGACACAGATTTTTACATTAATATCTGTTAACTATAAAGCATTCAATGTTATAGTCTACGATTAACTGTATACAATAGTTCCATTGATCCTATGTAAATCTTATTTTCTTACTGAGGTTACGTATGTCTCAACTAGAGGAATATGTCTTATTTTCTGGTTCCAACAAACACAATTCAGAAAACATCAAATATATATTTAGGGTCAACTGGTTCAAGTCATTCATAACAAAGGACAACTACAGAGGTTCCCGAGGTAGAGATCCCTGCCATATGTCCCCCAATTGGAGGAGAGAGAGGATATTAGTACAGATGCCCCTATTTCCCACTGCCACAGGTTAACTCTTTCTATAGAAACCACAGTAAAAAAATAATACACATGTTTAAAAAATATTTTAAAAGTCTGCTAAAACAACCAAAAATTGTAACAAGAAGAAAGGAAGGGAAGTAGGGAAACTGTCGATATGTGGAAATTTTGTCACTTACGAAAATGCTAATTTCATGTGCTTCAACGTAGAAAAATACATTTTTTCCTTTCTTGTGGACAGAATATAACAACGCTGAGTAATTCGTGGGAAAAACGGATTCAGTAACATTACACCCCATTTACTACCAAGCTACTATATATCTGGATGTATCATTCTTATTCCCAAACTAACTGCCCACTTCCCCCAATTTTAGAAATGGAAAAACAAAACAAAACATGACTGGTTTTAATTGGAGAAAAAGCAATCCCATTCTAAAAAGCAGAAAAAGTTTGCTTCCAATCTTCCCTTTATTAAAATGACACAACTCCTTAAACATCCTAAGTACTGTTTAGAATATCCAAAGTTTGCCATAAAGCAAAATATTTTCGATGTTTTAGAAAAATTAACTCATTTGCTAAGTATATACAAACTAAATTTCAGACCAAACCTTAAAAATTCTTTTTTCAACAAAAACAAATTTCTTTTTCAGGAAGTTATGTGTAATAAGGTCTTCCTTCAATCTTCTCCTCACCCATGTTACCATCAACTTTAAGCAGTTACAGTCCCAGATTAATTTAATAGTTAAAGTTAGGGCAAGCAAAATATCAGAGAAAAACGTGGCTTTTGTATTTTTGATACTAGGAGATGAGATCAGAAAGTTGGTCAGCTTTTCCAGAGACAGAACATTCTAGAGATGCTACCCAAGCTAAAGAATTCTCTTCTCATTGTAGGATAGAATCTAGATCAAGCCGTCTCACTCGATTCAAATGCATCACACAAAAGGTTGATTCAGAAGCACCAGGGCCTCTAAAAAGCTACATACACATTTTTCCCCCCTTTTAAATAACTGATGATACTTTGGAGGCCCTTCTGAGGTTTTCTACATTAACACATTATCTTGGGCATATTTCTATACTAATAAACTTTCACTGTCATCATTTTTAGAGTTTTATGGTAAGGCACATGGATGTGGCATGCCTGGTGTGTTTTCTTTGAAATAACTGGAAGCAGGCTGGCAAAGGTACCAATGACATGTGCAGGTCATTCTTATATAGAGGCCAGCCTTCTGGAGTTGACTAGGAGTCTGTGAAACTCTAAAATAGAACATCTTGAAATCCTCAGAGCCCATTGAAACTGAGGCTGGCCATACCTCTGGCACAGTGGTTCTCAACCTTCCTAATGCCGCGATCCTTTAATACAGTTCCTCATGTTGTGGTGAACCGCCCCCCCCCCCAACCATAAAATCATTTTTGTTGCTACTTCATAACTGTCATTTTGCTACTTCTATGAATCAGGTGAGCCCTGTGAAAGGGTCATTCGACCCTCAAAGGGGTCACGACCCACAGGTTGAGAACTGCTGCTCTAGGTCTCTATTGATGAGAAGAACTCTACCTACAACGGCTTGAAGAAATAGATCGCAAAGGGAAGAAGTGTTTCT